CAGACCATCCACCATCAATTTTGGGAGCTTTAAGAGATTGAATGAAATCGAAAAAATGAATATGTGGAAGGATGGACCGAGTTTTGGTGATAATAGAGAGTTTTAGATTGACTTTTTTTTCTCCCCGCAAACGACAAACGTGACCACGTTTTCATCGTTTTCCTGTATTTTACTTTACCTTTTACAAACCTTTTCTCCAAGCGCAAATATTCTTTTGTTTTTCTACTACTTGGACTTTTTCGCGATTCTTTTTCAGTGATTTAAAAGAAATTTTTACTGGTCAACTGACGTTTCACGTTTGCCGTGAACGTAAATCTAAAACTCTCTAATATTTTCTGACTTACGTGGACAAGTATTTGTTGCACATGATTTTGTTTCTGAACTGGTTCCCTCACAGCTTCGCCCGTCATTGGCTGGTGGTGGGTTTGTACAGGTGCGTGTTCTTGATTGGCTGCCTCCACCACACGTGGCTGAGCACGAACTCCATGAAGCCCAGTCAGACCATCCAGGTAGTGGAGCTTAAATATTGGAAATGTGAAATTAGTTTTAGATTAATTTATCTAGTAGAATAGATATTGAAATAGTAAATAAAATTCAAAAGTGAAAGGATCGAAGAATAGACTTCTTTCAGGATTTAGGTAAGTTACTGACTTACGTGGACAAGGTACCATGCATGCTTGGGTTTCTGAACTAGGTCCGTCGCAGTTACTTCCACCATTGGCAGGTGCTGGGTTTGTACACGTGCGTGTTCGTGATTGGCTGCCACCACCACACGGGACTGCTGAACACGAACTCCATGAACCCCAGGTGGACCATTGGCCATCAGTAACATCTAGGCATGAAACAAAACGAGTAACTATCTTAGAGTATATTTCATCGGAATATTTATGTCAATTTTCTCCTAATCACTTGTAATAACCTTAATTAAAACGAAAGGTCAATTAGGTTATTTTTGAAAGGGCGCTTTCCATTCGATGAAAAATTCCGGGTCGAATTTTCGAATTTTCATATCAAGCTTTACTCTATATGTTAGTGTCGAAGTTGGAGTAGAGGAAGCTCACTCCATTTATGGTATAATCAATTCCATATTTGGATTGTGCGGAGAAGCGGCAAACAAAAAGGCCGTCATTTTATCACGAATTCGACATGAACATTTTTGAAGAAGAAAAGAAGAGAAAAAAAAAAGACAAGTAAAAAAAGAAAAACTTTGTAAAATTGAGGAAGGATACGGGGACGATGCTAACTCGTGGGTCTGCCTCGCAGACAACAGACACAGGGAAATACGACACTCAATGTTTGATATGTATTTGGTCAAATGGAACGGATCATGAACCACATAGATCACGTGTTGTTACCCCAGGTATCCTGTGCAAAACATGGCGGACTTCCTAAAAGTTACAGCGCCTTTAGAAAATGATAGTTTCGAATTAGAAAATGAGATCTTCCAAAGCAACGATGATATTATTCGTTTTGCTTCAGCTGCGTGTGTTATGTGAAGAAGTTTAAATAGGATAAGCGCTTTGAAGAAGTAATTCCTGCCAATCTGCTAGGGGAGTTTAAGAAAACCACTTTCGAATGTCACGAAAAACCTTTGAATTATTTTCTCGAGAAATCATGCAAACTGGAAGAATTCCTCTTGGAACAACTGCCGGTCTGACTCCAATTACTCCTCAGAAGCAAATACTCATATTCTCGTGGGCAGTGGAAATAGAGAGCCAACAAGTTCTTCGGATAAAAAAACACATAAGCTCAGTGCACTGGTATACATGCAAGCTGGACGCCATCTTGTTTTGCATGCATGACGAGGGACTTGAACCGAAACCCTGGAACCAGACTGTTTTTGGATGAAAATAATAAATGGAATGCTTATTTTTCGAAATTTCCGGAAATCCCAAAAAAGAGGAATACCTCAAGACGTATTCCTAAATTTCCGAGTTTCTGTTCCGGGTTATTCTTAGTTCCATTGGATTTTAAATCGAAACTTCCGGAATTTTTCATCGAATGGAAAGCGCCCTTGGTATAGTTTACCTACTGAAATTTGGCCTTTTTTTCCAGGCTCCTGGAAAGTAACCATAAGTTATTCTACATATTAGCTCATACCGTTCTAGGCTCAGATTTCTAGCCGTCACGGCAATGGGCCCACGAAACCTGGAAAAAAATTCCTGGAAACTTCCTTGAATTTGAAAAACTGGAAAACCATTTCTGGAATTTTGAAGTAAAATATTCAACTGCGAACCTTGCCTAGAATTGCACCAAGAATACTTACCACAAGGAACTTTGCATTTCTTTGATTGTCTTAATTTATAACATTTGCCATAGAACCAGTAACATCGAGTTCGTACTCTTTTGCCAACACCACACGGCTCTTTCAATGGCAAACAGACGCTCCATGATCCCCACTGGCCGTCAGGTTCTAAAAAAAATATTAGTTTAAAGATATGCAAATATGCCAAGGATATAGACCCTTGCATTAAATTCTAACCTTGGGGTGAAAACAATGACATTCCCTAGACAATGAACAGGAGTAGCAAGCTTTTTATATAAGGGAACGTTCATTTTAAATCAGGCATAGGGGGAGGGGAGGGGGGGGGGAATTAATGGGATTCGCTTGGTAACTAATACCAGAAATGTGACCTCTACTCTCCATTCTGGCAGGAAAAAATGTCTACTCTATAGTCTTGCTTTAGGCTTTTCGTGAAAATGCCGTACTCGAATTCTTTCTTTCTCTATTTCTCCTTCCATTGCTTTGGTTGTGTTGGTCACTTATGCTTTTTTTTGAACTAGGATTAAGTGCTAGTTTGTTCCATTATAAATAAGTGATAAAAATGTTTACATTTTTTAAATTTTTGGGTCAAATTTAAAAGAAAGAATGTTTTCTAAATTGTTGCTTTGAATATGTTTACTTCGTCAGTTTGTAGCTGCCGCCCACACCTTTCATGGGGCACGAAATAGTATTTAATGTCACTCATTTATTCTCGAAAGTAAATGTTTAATATTAATGTTTGATCTTTAAAAACTCACTGCAACTCGATGTTACGAACGATATTTTCGCCTCGTCTTAACGAGCTTCAGCAAAAGAAGCATTTTTTGTTCCCTTGGAATAGGACTTCCCAGAGAAGACAGACAAAAAATCTTGCGTGTTTTTAACTCTTCGAAATGCTTTAGACGACCAATATAGACTGCTACAGCCACTTGTCTGTTAATCATGCTCAATTTGGAGGAGGAAAATAGGATCTTACTCTTATGGCAAAACAAGGGTTTTTTTTTTGCTCTTCACAATGAGCTGCATTAGGAATAGCTACGAATCGTTCTAAGGATACAAGAAACAGATAAAGCCATTTTCTACCAGTTGTCATAGTTAATAGCACCCCACATGACGTAAGTAACACTAGAGTTTTCTTCATTGAATCAAGTATCACACGTCATCAAAAACGATAAATCAGTGTCTAGGTAACCAGGGTAACCAGGGTAACCAGGGTAACCAGGGTAACCAGGGTAACCATACTTAAAATCGAATAGCGCAGCGCAACCGTGACGTCATAAAAACGAAGACAAAGGCGAAATTCGGACAAACAAACTTACAAGTTTGCTTTCAGCAGATAATTTTCACAGCCGATCGCAGTCGATCTTAGTTTACATGGGTTATTATTGTAACTTTAAGTAAGAATGATAAAATCGGTTCGTATAATCCTCGTAGCGGTTAAACAGAATGCAATGTTTGTCCGAATCTTTATTTTTAGAATCAGCGCGCTGCGCTATTGAATTGCACTTAGGATATCGGGAATCAGACAAAACAGTTTTGAACAAGTGTATACAGCTATTTACTCTGAGATTAAATTCGGGAATACGTAATTTCGCCTGGTTTATAGACCGCTTTACCTTAGGCGTAATGGTTTCCGCTTTCAGACCACGTGTCATTTCCTTGAGTATCATTTCTTTGTTTAATGTTTGCGCATGAGAAGATGCATAAATAGGGATAAGGGCTGTATTGTTCTTTTTAAAAATAAACCTTGCTTTCCTGTATCTTATAATTCTTTTTTTTTTTAACGTGCCCACTGATCGAACAAGGTCAGTTATCACTGCTCTTAAATATCCGATATGCTAATTGTTTTCAATGTTTCTTAATTCCCTTAAACATTCGGTTGAAAATAATTACCTAGACTGTGAACAAACGTTAAACATGTTGCAAGAAGAGCAAGCCAGCTAATGATGAAACTAGACATCCTGGCTGAAGAAATACAATGAAGAGAAACAATTGTTAACTGAAGTTAAAAATATATTGATAAAAATGAAACATCGTTGTTAACTGAAGTAAAAAAAAAGTTGAAAGAACAGAGCGAAAAATAGGAAGAAACAAGACAAAAGAAAATGTTTGGAAGGAAAGGAAAGAGAAAGGGAGAAAACGAAACGAAAAACATTGAAATGAAATGATAGAACTAGAAAAGAAAAGGAGAAAGGAAAGAAAAGGAAAGGAAATGAGAAAGGAAAGGAAAGGAAAGTCGAAGGAAAGGAAAGGAAAGGAGAAAGAAGAGAAAAGGAAAGAAAAGAAAGGAAAAGAAAAGCAAAGGAACACGATAACAAGAAACTGAAAGTAGAAAACGTAAGTTTTTGGATAGGAAATTTGAAAAAAATGTAAAGAAAACACCATTCGCACTCTATCGATACCCAAAACACAACCTCTGGGCTGATCAAAGTGAGGGCAGTTTGAAGTTGGAATTGTGGAATTTTTTGGAATTTAGCGTTTTGCGGATGGGAGAAAACCAGAGAAAGCAGAAAAAAACCCTTGCATTTTCACATTTCAGTCATTTGTAAATATCATTAGTAATCGTATACAAGAAAAACAAATGAAAATCTATTTTATACTGAATCCTATCATAGATACTCATAAAAGTATTAAAGAAGTGACTCAAATAACCAGAAATTACATACTTTGTGCCTTTTTTCCTAGATAGTGGAGAGACGACGTCAGCTGATCACGATCCCTAGAACGACGATCCTCTGCCAACGAACTAGTCATTTAACAGGTATTTATAGCATCACATGTTTCAAAACACTTGAGCATTAATTAACTGCTAAGCAACCGACAGTCTTATTTTAGTACCCTTGGGTCATCTTCCTGTTTGCTTTGAATTCGTTGATATTGGCTGCTATTGGTAACATGTTCTTGGTTTGCAAATAGTTTTTTTTTCCGCCTTGATGTTCTTATTTTCACATTTTTAATGGATTTTGAACTTCCCGAATTTTTCGTTTTTTCCCTCACGTATTTTTATTTTTGTTTGTTTGTTTGTTTGTTTATTTGTTTGTCCTTAATTGTTTAGGTTTTATTTCTTTTACTTTGTTGAGGGTGGAGATTTAGACCTCCTTTTTGCTTTGCATTTCTTTTTTCTTTTTGTTAGTTTATTCAAGTTATTTTTAAATTCTTTTGTTTGTTTGTCCTTGTCTCGATGTTTTATTTTATTTTTACTTTGTTGAGGGCGTGTGGAGATTCAAACCTCCTTTTTGCTTTCCTGATTTAGTTAGTTCATTCAATATCTTTTTTTTTTTAATATGTCAAGAAAAAAGTTAAAAATTTCAAACGTTTTTGTACTGACCCCTTGCATGGGGACTACGATAAATCTTTTATTACGCCCCCGGATAGCTTATTTATTCTAGTGACGGTTTATACGAATTACTATAACAAAAGACGCAATTTCTTACAGTTCAAACTTTGGATGAGTGATAACTGTATTGTATATATATCGTATATAGAAATTTGAATCATTTTATATACATCGTTCATGTTTAGCGTTAACAGTTTGATTAACTTGTATGAGGTCTGAGGGAAGGAAGGAGGAAGTTAAAATAAAGGTGGCTTAAAAATTCTTTCTTTAAAAAGATTGACTTATTAGATAGGAGGAGGGCTTATTTGATAGAGTGGATAATAATAGATGATTTACGGTAAGTACGCAGCGTTGTAACGACCACCAAAACCTGCCTGTCAATTCATGACATTTCATTGGACAGGGGAACAGGCTGAAAAAGCTGACATGCTGACAATATCCAACTAATAAAGCCTCGGAAATTTTCAGAATATCTGTTTAATTCATTCAAAATAACGAGAATGTTAGTTTTATTGGAAAAACTATACTTATATAAAATGGGAAGCTGTATTTAAAATTCGTGATATTCTTGTTGTTGGTTTTACGTGTTTCGATCAGACACGACATCACTTTAGTACTAGATTGTCAAGCGCTGTTTAAAGAGGATTGCCCGCTATATTTGGCTTAATTGGATGTACTTATCGCAAAACAACAAAGACATCATCATCGTCAACATTACTGAGCTGCTTGCGAGCACGTTACACTATCTAATCTCGCTATGCAAATTACGCACGCAATGAAACTTTCGTGCCAAACCTGCATGTAACTGCATATTGTTTCTGTTATATAGGAGTATAGTGCGTGCAGTTTGGCAGGACTCTTTCGCTAGTCCATGGTAGCTAGGTGCTTTATGTATATCATCTATTTTGTACTCTCCTTTAAATACAAATGTGGATATTTACAAATAACAGTCACTATTTAACTTCATTGATCTTTAAATTGTTATCTGTTGTAGGAGCGTAGTGCGTGCAGTTTGGCAGGAAACTTCCACTGGTCCATGGTAGGTGCTTCATGTATATCATTTATTTTGTGTTCCTCTTAAATACGAATGTGGTTATATAAGAGTGACTATTTTTTCAAAATAAACTCTTAAAAGGCAGTGCTTTGGATCAAGCTAAACTGTGACTGACTACCCATGCAACAGGAAGTTGCGCATGTTATTCGTAATAGACCCCTTGCATAAGGGGTCAAAGCACCTCAATTTGGAAAACAAAACAAAAGAATTTCAATCTCCTGAGAATTGGAAACCTATCGTTATGTCCTCCAAATTGAGCCGCATTTTGACGTAATGCAAGGGGTCTATTGCATTTTGTATTTTGCATGAGTTTTCTTGGGTGACGGTAAAGAAAAGCGAAATGGGATTTTTTGTGTGTGGGATGCACAAATCATGGGAAATTCCATTCAAACCTTGTCCAAAGCTTCTTATCGATTTCCCCCACATTTATGATAACAGAAACAGTATATCTAAGTGATATACGGGGATGACATTATTTTATTCAATGGAAATTAATGTTAATGATTTAACATTTTATAAAAAGTCGCTGAGTGGCTGATGACCAAAGGTCTTTTTGTTAATTAGCATCTTGGCATCTCTTAGCATCAGCAACTATGCCAACTAGTTTAATAGACCCTAGCAGAACTGAAAAAATGAAATTTCTAAAGTTTTGCAAGCTCCTCGTCGCTTTTCGCCTCTTTCAAATGTAGGATTGAACCTTAGCTTAAGTCAGTAAACTTTTAGTTACATTTTTGACTGCATACCATTTCTTATAGTCTAACAGCACATAGCTAGGAACTATTAACGCTACTACATTGAATCTAGGACTTTATGGTCGAATCCCAGTTTCTTATCCATTCGAGAGGCCTTGGATTTTGGGCTTACTATCTCGGGTTGGATTTCTTTATCCATCTTCTCTGCTTGTGCTGCTTCTTCAGCACTGACCTTGAACAGTTTCATTGCAGCCTTACTCATGCTACTGAAGCGCTCACGTGGGATCTGTTTGAGCATTCTAGGAGCGAGAGCTGGAAACATTAAGAGATCATGTGTTATTTTAAGCCCTTTGATTTTTTTCCTCTTTTCGATTCATTTGCTGTTCCTTCTTTATTTCGTTTCTTTTGATCTCAATTTTCTTCCTTCCTTCCTTCCTTCCTTCTTTCCTTCCTTCCTTCCTTCCTTTCTTNCTTCCTTCCTTCCTTCCTTCCTTCCTTCCTTCCTTCCTTTCTTCCTTTCTTTCTTGCCTTCTTTTTATTTTTTCTATATTTTTCTCTTTCTTTCCTTTTCTTTTCCTTTCTCTTCATTCTTTTTTCCTTCTGTGTCTTCTTTCGTTCTTTCTTGTTTGCACGTCACCTATTCTATCTATCTATTCAATAGGTATTATTCAAGGCTCTTCCCACTTCTCCTAAAATTACTATTACCACTGAAGCTCTAGTATTCTCAATAAGGCACCTTTGTTCATTACCTCTCAGTCTACCGACTACCCTGGCAGCAGGAGTGTTACCAACGTCTTGCCATTCTACCCTTACGCCACCAGGTAACGCGTTGTTGTCAAGAAACTGGCTAGGAAGAAGACCACTTGTTCCTGGCAAAGCTTGATTCACCGAGGCAAAAAATGCTGTCTGGTGGGCATTGCTTTTCTTCTGCCAGTCTGCCCAGATCTGAGAGAAACAGGGCAAGAAAAAGAATTCCATAAGAACCTGTGTTTAGTAGTCGCCTATTAAGCGGCAAGCCTCTATTTAGCGGGCAGTTGTCACAATAAGGGATTTACGTTTTCTGGCTGGAATACGAAAAATCTCATTTCTAACTCAAAGGTCATGCTTCATATTCCAATCTAAAAGGAAACTACGTTGTAAGACTGTGAATATATTAAATTTTGCAGCTCGTAATTCACAACATTTTTTGTAATAGGTGTATACGTATTTGACAGAGATACGGCAAAATATTGTTGCAGCACTCCTTATTTGGGTGTTATGGAAATACCTTATCGATCATTCCATGGAGTAAAGAAGAACTCTGTTAGTATTTGACAAAGCTCAAGATAAAGTCATGGCTAAATAGTAGCCAAAATATAGTTGCAGCACTCCCGATTAGGTGTTATGGAAAATACCTTATCGACCATTCCATGGTGCAAGAAGAACTCAGGAGCAGAAGAAGAGTCAGTCGTGCACATGGTTCCTCCAATCAAACAATGTACCGTGTCATGCAAGTTAAGTCGCAACGTTGATTCAAAGTCATGAAATCTTGAGACGGGAAAATCTATCAATTGCGTGACAGCAACACTATCAGGTGGGATGCCATCGAATCGCCTCTTTAAACATCGAGGGGGACTAACTGAATGCGGAAGTTCCCAGACGCCTAATCTAAATGGACCAGTAGTAACACAGTTATCGCTTGTTGTGCCGTCACCTCCAAAACCGCTGTCTCCTCCATACCAAACGTTTGATGCTGATGTGCTCCAAGGACTCCCAGAAACCATACTCCAGTCCCAGTAAGCTACAGTAAAGTTACAGTCAACCTCTCTGAGAAGGTTTTCATAGGTGAGGATGTACCAACGATGCCAGGTTAAGAAGTGTTGTTTATCATGGATACCGTTATTAAAGAATATGTTCCTGTGGAGGGTGATTAGTGTGTCGTACCGGGGCTTGTATCTGGAGATAAGAATGAGTATCAGGAGTATAAGGGCATAGTATTAACTCAGAAGTTCTGTATCTTAAGAAAAAATAAGGTTCCCTTTACTTTATCTCAGCCTTGAAAATAGTAGGAATTGGTAACGTTACTCGAAAACTGTAAATGTTGAATTAGCTGCTAGAATTTTCTGGCTAAACATCATCACCGCCAATTCAACATTTGGCAATTTCTAATCCAGCCATAGATGGTGACAATAATAAAAGGACAGAAAGGAGAGATGTCATAAGTTTTGAAACTGAGCGAAGACCCTTTCCCATCAAGCAAAAGTAGGCGAATAGATATGGAGATGTACATTTTAGAGAGCTTAAGATTTTCAGGTGGATTGGATTCAAACTATACTAACTTAGAATTGGTGGATGCTTCTTTTACGACTCGTATGTATCGTTCACGTTCAGCTGTTGTCATGGAGGTAAACTCTTTTCTGATACGAGTACACTGAGTCAAGGTACCACCCGCACCACAGACACACCGCTGACTACAACTGTCTGTTACCGTCTGGCCTACTTGACAACCTAGCAAGAAAAGAGACACGTAACTTATTATGCTATTTCTAAGAAGTTACTTCTAAGAACCAGCAATTTCGGAAGCCAAGTTCATCCATGTGAGTAGAGTTGTTTGTTGGTTCTCTCCTGTGCTTCGAGGGTTTTTCTTCGGGTTCTCCGGTTTTTCTCCCTCCGCAAAGAATCAACTTCTTAGTTCTAATTTGATCTAAAAGGGCCTGGATGAAAATAACTCTGTGTAAATTTAGTCACCCTATTAAATTTTGTAGTATCCATCTGACAAGTTGAAATTATTCGTTTTATACTACAACATGCATGCATGGTTTTGCATTGAGGTTGTTCTTTTCTTCTATTCTTTGTAACTTTACGGCGTTTCATTTTTACCTGGTGGACAAGTGGTTTGAGCACATTTTTGGGTTTCAGAACTGTTACCCACACAGTTACGTCCACCATTGGCTGGTGCTGGGTTTGTACATGTTCGTGTTCGTGATTGGCTGCCTCCACCACACCTGGCCGAGCACGCACCCCATGAACCCCATGTTGTCCATTGACCATGTATTTTAGGTGCTGTTACAATAAAAGATATGAAAAATAGGGTTTTTCATTATCGTTTGAAATATAATTAGGTACAAAGCCATCATTGAGAAGCAAACGGCAGAAGTTGCCGTGAAAAAACTAGAAAAAGATACCCACGTGGTGTTGGACATGTTTGAACTGCACATATTCGTGTTTCTGAACTAAGTCCCTCGCAGTTACGTCCACCATTGGCTGGTGCTGGGTTTGTACACGTGCGTGTTCGTGATTGCCTGCCTCCACCACACGTCACGGAACACTCGCCCCATTTACTCCATTCAGACCATCCACCATGTACTAGTGCTATGAAAGGAAAGTATCCATTAACTATATGTCTTGACATCTTTTTTCTTAGTTAAAGCATGATAATGTGAAGGGGAAAAAATAATAAAAAAGATCTTCCAGCTTGTTGAATGATGCAATCATATGTTTACTCTGATTTTCTTACGTGGAGTTGTTGTGCATTTTCTTGCTCCACATTGCCTCGTCTCACGATCATTTCCAAGACAGTTTCCTCTTGGATAGTTAGTACATGTACGCGTTCGCAATTGTGTTCCTTCGCATGGCGCAGAACATTTTGTCCATGATCCCCACGTTGACCAGCTATCTTGTGCTAGTGAAGAGACGAGACGATTTGTCAGGTTTAATATGTCTGATAAAATAAATGAATGCACAAGGCACGGCACGGCACAAAATCTTACGATATGTATGGAACCACAAAAGTGTGTGAGATTACTTCTCATTCAATCAGGATCCTGTGACAAGGCACCGCGTGACTGTGACGTAGTCACGTCACCGTTCTATACCCTCGCATTTAGCATCGACACATAATCCAAAATTAAATTTTGTTGTAGAATATAACAAAAAGTAAAGTCTTATGGAATGGGATTTCGTTTCTGTATATTCTGTTTATTTCTGTGCATTCTTTACTTCCCCTACTTTTGGTATGTGAATATTCTCACGCGAAGACGAGGATAAGCCCGAGCAACGAGTCTGTGATCAAGGAACACAGAGGTATAGTCTACTCTGTGCCGTTGTGAGGTATGCTTACATTCTAACTAGACATAATAATACTACTTACTGCAAGGTACATAACAAGCCCTTTTTCGACGTGAAATAATGCATCTCCCGTAGAACCAGAAACATCTAGATTTAGTTCGTGTTCCTGTTCCACATGGTCCGTTTGTTTTGCACGGACCCCATGCTGACCACTGGCCCAATCCAAAATTGTCTAATGTTAAAATGAAGTTAAAACAAGACTGACTAACTGACCAAAAGACCGACAGACTGATTTTAACAATGCATGATATCGTGATAAATACCTCGACTGTCAACGAAGGTTAAACATGTTGCAAGGAGAACCAGCCAGCTGATGATGAAACTAGACATACTGGCTGAAGAAACAATGAAAACTATTTTGAGTAAAGAAATAGTAAAAACAAAATTTACATTACAAACAAACGAAGAAACGAACAAGCCAAAAAAAAAAA